CAGTGAACATAAAGAAGTTGGAACACCAGACGAGAATCCAGCCCTGCGGCATTTCTCTGAGTACCAAGCATCAGCACGAGCCCTGCGGCGCACGCGTCTGTCCAAGTTCCGGCCATGAGGCATGACGAAAGAGAACGCTAATGTCCGCAGAATTAGCCGTAACAAATTCCCAAAAATCACCACGCAAGGCGGGGCAGATCGTCGATATACAACGGTCTTGCACCACTCCACACCACGGCAGAGAAACAGAAGCCCAGCGGCAGCCGCAATCGGAGGCGGACACACACGCCTTGAGGCAGACAGTACGATACACGAGTGTGTAAGCACCTCTCCGCACGATGCGGCTCGAGGAGTCCCCGACGGTAACCAAGGAAACCTTGGTTTGCGTTTGCGTGGGGTCATGGCAGGGCGGAGCTCACGTCCTGACTACGAACTCCACATGCTTATGAAACCTGCCCTTTGCAGAATCACAAGCACCCCTGCAGAGAGGGGCCGATGGGCGGCAGAAAGCTCAGCAGACGCGATAGCACAGCAGGAGGGGAAAGGAAGGCCTCAGAAGCAACACGGCGCCAGCCAAAGACGATAGAGGAGGAAGGAGGCGGAATATTGCTAGAGAAAGAAGCAACCCTCACATCAAGCACCCAGCCACACCCGACACCACGTTGGAAACGACCTCCGTCGAAGGATCCACGGATACAGTCGAGCCAGTCCGAGCGTTCCAAGTCATTTCATCTGCCTCCTCGGTTACCGCCGGGAGCTCGTAGAGCTTCCTCGCGCAATGCGGGCGCGGCAATAGTGCATGCCTCGCGCGCGAGGGTGCGGTCTCATGGAGGAGGACTGGAGTAGAATGAGGAAGAGCAGGAGGAAGAAGGAGGACAAGCAGCAGGAAGAGAAGCAGGGGAGGATCAAGCAAGTCATTGTTATCTCTGGACAAATTAGTAGAGTACGAATATTTTTTCGGTTCCAACTCGGAAGCAGACCGAGTTCGGGCACCTAGATACTTTAGACTATCGATTAGAATGATGTCCTTTCGATCGCTGTGACAAACAACTCTGCAGCTCATCTGCAGCTCGAGTTTGGTCAAGAAAAGCACCACCATCTCTGAAAAATGCTGCAGGGCACGAATAGTTTTTCGGACCCAGCTCAGGTAGCAGACCCAGTTCGGGCATCTAGATACTTGAGACTAGCGCTTCTGCTGATTTCCTTACGATGAATGTGTCAAAGAACTCATTAGCTCATCTGCAACTCGAGAAATCTCAAGATAGTCACCAACATCTCTCTGGAAAACATCAGCGCAAGAATAGTTGTTCGGACCCAGCTTTGCTAGCAGACCAAGTTCGGGCATTTAGATACTCTAGACTAGCGATTCTAATGACTTACCTTCGATTGATGTGACGAACAACTCCGTGGCTGATCTGCAGCTCGAGCTCAGTCAAGAAATTCCATCACCATCTCTAAACCAAATTGCAAAGCACGAATAGTTTTTCGGACCCAGCTCTAGTAGCAAACCGAGTTCGGGCATCTAGATACTTTAAACTCGCACTGCCCATGATTTCCTTCCGCTTGCTGCGCCAAACAGCAGCTCGAGTTAAATCAAGAAACTCATCATCATCTCCAAGAAAATTAACAGAGTACGATTAGTTTTGCGGGCCCAGTTCTGGTAGCAGAACGAGTTCGGACATGTGAATAATTCAGACTAGCGCGCCTCATGATTTTAGATGCTTTAGGCGTGCGTGCCAGCTTTGTAGCTTCGTCTACAGCTCGAGTTAAGTTCAGAAAACCGACACCACCTATCAAGATGACCCGAACAGCCGCCCCGCCTACATGCTTTTTGACAATAATAGGTCCCCGACCTACATGAGATTAAGATGGCGAGCGGGAATAAGATCGAATCTGGAGGGAAAAATATTAGAACTCTCACGAAGGTTCAAACTTCGAGAAATCGTATAGAGCTCGTCCTCGGCGAAAGACAAGAAAAAGAAGAAGACGAAGAAGCAGGGCAACTCCTCGGAAGATAGCGACAAAGAGAAGAAGGATAAGAAGTCCAAGAAGGCCGACGTGGACAAGAATGGCGAGCAGCCGGTGAAGCGCAACACGGAGGAGAAGGCGCAACGCGAGGCCGACAAGAAGGCGAAGCGCGAGACGGAAGAGAAGGCCAAGCGCGAGGCGCAGGAGAAGGCGAAGAGCGAGGCGGAGAAGAAGAAGTCGCCGATGGAGAAGTGGGGCGTCGACTCGGTCAGACAGTTCAAGGACAAGATCGAGGCGTATGACAAGAAGCGAGGGACAGAGGACTTCATCGCGATGATCGAAGCGCCTCCAATGGACCTGTTGCTGAAATTCTGCTCGGCCCTGGGCGAACTGCCGATCGGCCAGGACACGTGCGCCTCGATGGCCGAGGCAAAGCTGGAGGACAAGGGGTGGGAGAAGCACGTGCGCGACCAGCTTGGCAAGCTCTGCGAGGTGGCGTGGCAGGAGCTCAAAGTGGAATGCCAGCCCTGAGGAAGCGGTCTCCCGCCGGGCATAGCCTCCCCGTGTAGGAATTCCGGGGAGCCCCGAGCGCTTGAGCTTCGCCGCGCCGCCGAGGGCGAGCTGCGGTGGTATACTTCGGAGGCGGTTCTTCATATTTGGAGCCTGCGCTGAGAGCGCTTCAGGGTGATTTTCCGAATCTCTGCGAGTGGTGAGTTCTGTACACGAGCGCGCTGTTCCCGTTCTGCGCTGGGTCCCTGAAGAAATACAATCGGCCGCTCGCCCCGTGTTCGTTTCGAAGAGAGCGCGAGCGGGCTCCAGGATGGTTCCAAGAGAGCCTAGAGGGCTCCAAGACAGCCTAGAGGGCTCCAGGAGGGTTCCAAGAGGCCCCCAAGAGGGCCCGACACCTTGTCACGAACAAGGCCCTTTTTCGTGACAAGGTGTCGGGCCCCCCAAGATGGCTCCAAGAGGGCCCCAAGAAGGCCCCAAGAGGGCCCCAAAAATCCCAGAAAAATCTCAGACACCGTCTTCATCACGTCTGAGATTGTTCTGGGATTTTTTGGGGGGCCTTTGGGGGCCTCTTAAGGCCTTCGGAGGGCTCCCGCAGGGCCCCAAGAAGGTCCGGCAGGGCCCCAAGAAGGCCCCAGGGCCCCCCACAAAATCCCAGAAAAAACTCAGACTTGATGAAGACGGTGTCTGAGATTTTTTTGGGTTTTTTTGGTGCCCTCTTGGGGCCTTCTTGGGGCCCTCTTTAAGCCATCTTGGGGGGCCCGACACCTTGTCACGAAAAAGGGCCTTGTTCGTGCCCGGGGCTGTTCCTTTTGAGCGCCCCTCAAGACAAGCACTTCCACATCGGGCTGGAAGAGTCTCAAAGGGCGCGGGGATCCGAGAGATCCGACAGGGCCCCCCTGAGGCTCCAAAGTAGCCCCCAGGGAGTTCCACGAGAGCCTCAGAGGGCCCAACACCTTGTCACGAACAAGGCCCTTGCTCGTGACAAGGTGTCGGGCCCTCTTGGGGGCCTCTTGGAACCCTCCTGGAGTCCTCTTGGGGCTCTCTTGGAGCCCACTTGGAGCCCCAAAAAGGCTCGCCGGACCTTCTTGGGGCTCTGCGGGAGCCCTTCGAGGGCCTTAAGAGACCCCTAAGGGCCCCTCCAAAATCCCAGGAAAATTTCAGATTTGATGAAGGCGATGTCTGATTTTTGGGGGGGGGATTTTTGGGGCCCTCTTGGGGCCTTCTTGGGGCCCCCTTGGAGCCATCTTTGGGAGCCTCTCAAGGCCCTCGGAGGGCTCCCGCAGGGCCCCAAGAAGACCGGCAGGGCCCCAAGACGGCCCCAAGATGGCTCCAAGAGGGCCCCAAGAAGGCCCCAAGAGGGCCCAAAAAATCCCAGAAAAAACTCAGACACCGTCTTCATCAAGTCTGACATGTTTCTGGGATTTTGGGGGGGGCCCTTAGGAGCCTCTTAAGGCCCTCGAAGGGCTCCCGCAGGGCCCCAAGAAGCTCCGGCAGGGCCCCAAGAAGGCCCCAAGATGGCTCCAAGAGGGCCCCAAGAAGGCCCCAAGGGCCCCGAAAATCCCAGAAAAATCTCAGACACCGTCTTCATCAAGTCTGAAATGTTTCTTGGATTTTGGAGGGGCCCTTAGGGGCCTATTAAGGCCCTCGAAGGGCTCCCGCAGGGCCCCAAGAAGGTCCGGCGAGCCATTTGGGTGCTCCAAGTGGGCTCCAAGAGAGCCCCAAGAGGGTTCTAGGAGGGTTCCAAGAGGGCCCCAAGAGGGCCCCAAAAATCTCAGAAAAATCTCAAACACCGCCTTCATCAAGTCTGAGATTTTTCTGGGATTTTGTGGGGGGCCCTTGGGAGCCTCTTAAGGCCCTCGAAGGGCTCCCGCAGGGCCGCAAGAAGGTCCGGCAGGGCCCCAAGACGGCCCCAAGATGGCTCCAAGAGGGCCCCAAGAAGGCTCCAAGAGGGCCCCCAAAATCTCAGAAAAATCTCAGACACCGTCTTCATCAAGCCTGAGATGTTTCTGAGATTTTGGAGGGACTCTTAGGGGCCTCTTAAGGCCCTCGAAGGGCTCCCGCAGGGCCCCAAGAAGGTCCGGCGAGCCTTTTTGGGGCTCCAAGTGGGCTCCAAGAGAGCCCCAAGAGGGTTCCAGGAGGGTTCCAAGAGGCCCCCAAGAGGGCACGACACCTTGTCACGAACAAGGGCCTTGTTCGTGACAAGGTGTTGGGCCCTCCGGGGCTCTCGTGGAACTCCCTGGGGGCTACTTTGGAGCCTCAGGGGGGCCCTGTCGGATCTCTCGGATCCCCGAGCTCTGTGGGACTCTTCTGGCCCGATGTGGAAGTGTTCGTTTTGAGGGGCGCTCAAAAAAACAGCCCCGGGCTCTCTGCGTCGGCTCGTGGATCTCGACAGAGAGACGCTGGATCGAAGGACGATGTCCGTAAACATTTGTGCTCGAGAGTTGCAGCGGCACGCGCTTCGACAGGACTCCACCGCTTCCTAGCGAGTGGTCGAGGTGGCCACAGCGGAGGGCGCTACCAGCATGGCGCCGAAGGCTCAGAAATTCTTTCTCTCGGACGTGGTGGCCATGTGCAGACGCGGGACCCTGGAGAACCTGATCCGCGACGACTTGAAGGCGCGTGGCTGCCCGAAGTCGCGCGTGTCCCAGCTCATACGGGACGCTCGCCTGGCCGGCGCCTTGCCGGTCGCGTCGCCTACCAAGAGCTGGGGCGCGGGCGGCGCAGCGCCACCGGCGAGGGGGCAGGAGCAGCAGGTCGCGGAGGACAGAGCGGCGGAGGACGCGGGCGCGCCGTCGCCGCGTGGCCAGGGCACAGGCGCGGCCTCCAGCGCCCCATCACCTGCGGGCGCCGCGCAGATCGGCTTCGGGGACATGGCGGTGGAGATGGACGAGGACGACGAGGGGATCTGCTTCGGCACGGCGACCCCGGTTCTGAACGACGGCAGCTCCGAGGCGCGCAGCAGCGATGAGGAGGTGCCGGACGCTGCGATGCTGAACGAGTCGATGGAGAGTGCGAGGCAACATACCATCGCGGAGAGCGACGCGCATTGGATCTTCGAGGTGGAGGCGGACGCGGACCCGGACGACGACTCCAAGGACGCGGCGGGCGGAGTGGAGAAGTTCTTCGACGTAGAGGCCGACGTGGGCGAGAGCGGCGGCTCCGAGAGCGCCGAGAAAGACAGCTACGTGGACGAACATGGCAACGTAGAGGTCGGGGCGACAGGAAGGGAGATTGGCTCGGGAGGAATACCGATGGGAGAGGGCCACGCATGCTGGGTCAGAGACCAAGGGCGGCCGCCTTGCCCAGGAGCAGTTGTTTCGTTTTCGGGGATGTCGCTGGGGCCGATGAGGGCTACATTGCCGACTGGCACTCATCGTGAGCCCCCCCGAGCGAATCTCCCAGTCCTTGTGTCCCATGCAAAGGGGCTGATACATGACAGCGACGGCGTTGAGAAGCGGGAGGACAGCGACGTGCTCATGGCGGAGAAGAGCGACGCGGTTTCTGCTGGGGCGGAGAAGGCGCCGCCGCCGCCAGAGCCGCATCCGGCAGAGCGGGTTCGGCGGCGCATCACAGGCAAGCGGGCTCTCCAGGTTGTGCAGGAGCAGGGGCCGGCCCTGGCTCACGCCCGCGTTGCAGCGGCGGCCCCCATGAAGCGGCCGGCGAAGAAGCGGTTTCAGTGCCACGTGTGCCCGTGCCCGACACGCATGTTTTCGATGGTCGCACCAGGCGCGGCGGCGCAGACGAAGAAGAGAGAGCTCTGTGCGTTCTGCTCTCCAGAGACAATGAGGAAGGCTTTGTCGGAGCCTGGCGGTCGCGGCAACGTCACCCGATCCCTGCGGGCTTTCCTGCAAGCGGATCGCCAGGATGCGTTCGACGTGGCGCTGCAGCGGTTGCCCAGCGACGAAGAGAGGGACAAGTTCAGGAAGGCTTTGAGGCGCGAGACGCGAAACAAGGATGCCGCGGCGCAGAGCAGCCAGGCCGACAAGCGCCAGCAGGAGAAAGTGGGGAGACTTCAGTCTCTCATGAATAACCGCGTCGCAGTGACTCCAGCGCCCACCGACGAGCAGCGGGCGGACCACGAGGAACACGTCAAGGACGACGAGAGGCGGTTCAAGAATAAGTTCAAAGCTGTGCAAGAGGCGCGGGACCGGGAGGACGACTCGTGGCGCTCGGAGGCGGCTGTGAAGCTGGAGCAGTGATGCCGGCAAGGTGCCTGGGTGCAGTGCGAACAGTGCAAGCGCATGGAGAAGCGGCATCTACGACCCGTGGACATAGAAGGCCGGACGCGCACTTGGACGATTCCGAAATGCAAGCACTGCAAATCGGACGTGGGCTACACGACAGATTCCTTGGAGGACATCCCGACGGTGCTCCGCCAGCTGCCAGAGGACGTTTTGTGGGCTTTGCGGCCCCTGGAGCCTTTCTGCGGCGAGTACGTCCGGGCCCAGCATCGGTATCGGGTGCACACGGACATGATTCGATTATGGTGGCGCCCTGTCTCCGCGTCCGAGCAGATTAACCAGCTCCAGCACCGAGAGCAGCGCAGCCGTGCCCGCGAGGCGTATGAATTCCTCATGGCGTCCCAGCAGTCCTCCTACAAGAAGTTCATAGAGATGCACGCGGCTTTCCGCCGGAAACACGCGGAAATGCTGACGGGCGCAGCTGACGACATGCGGTTGCAGCTTCCCGGAGAGGAATGGAGGAGGAGGGCATCGAGTGCGCTGTCTGGCCGCACCTGCATCCTCGGACCAACATGTGCGAGACGCACATCCGCCTTTCGGACTCTCGCAGGAAGGACACGAGGAAGCGCAAGAAGGAAAGCTCCACGGACTCAAGGATTGGGATAAGGATTCCAACGACGGAGCGGGCGACGGGCCGCGCGACCCCGGTGACTTTGCCAAGAGCAACAGGAACTCGGCGAAGGCGTCGATCCTGGCGAAGGTGCTCGGCCCCGTCATCGGCTACGGGTCGGACATGGAGCTCGTGCAGTTCGTGCACGATCTTTGGCTGTGGTCCTCGCTCGGCAGCAAGCGGAACGCACTGTCGGAGCAGATGCCGATGCGGCTGGCCATGGGAGGGCACAGCTTCACTCCAGAGTACTGGAAAGTCCGACATGATGCTCTCATCGACGCAGTGAAGCAATTGGGTATGCCTTCGCTGTTCATCACCGTTTCGCCGTATGAGTGGTCGTTTCCTTACGCGAATTGGGTTGAGGACGAGATGGCAAAAGAGCTTCGCTCCAAGACACATCTGCCAGTGGCGGAGACCTTGCATATTGCGCGCGTATTGGGGCAGGTCGTGGAGGGCTTCCTCACGGGCGCCAACAGCACCAGAGCGCGGAAGCGGTGGAAGAAGCACGTGTTCGGCCCGAAGGACAGCAGCGAGAAGAGCACGGCGCGCGCACATTTTGCCAGAGCGGAGTTCCAAGACGGCAAAAGGAAACGGTACGTTGGTGAGCACGAGGCGGCTGCCAAATTTTATCACGGGCGCGGCACCGCGCACATTCACCTACTCGTCTGGCTGGAAGACGAGCCGCGCATCGAGCTGGAGAAGATCATCGTCGCCACGTCCCCGGACGACAATCCGCAGGTGAAGTCGCTGGTGGAGGGCCCCCAGAGATCTTACACTGGGAGCGGGTGGCCTGTGCGCGATGAGGCGCCCTCCTACGACGCGGGGACAGGTACGCTGCGTCTGCACCACTCCAAGTCGGACCACATGCGGCGCAACAAGAAGGGCAACCCAGAGGGTGTTCGCGCGTACATCATCGGCGTGCTCACCGCCCTGTACTGCCACGTTGACGTCCTCAGCACTGACAAAGTGGACATGCTTTTGAGGTATGTGACCTCGTACGTCCCGAAGTTCTCAGATTCCTTCTGCGACGAGTGGTTGGCGGACCAGGCGAGCGACTACTCCATCGCGCGCAGGGTGCTGACGGATTACCACCCGCTGGAGCCAGAGATGGTGCTGCAGCTGGCCATGCAATGGTTTCCGCAGACATTCTCAAGCGGGTCCTTTCGAAAGTTCATTGTTCCGGCGCCGTGGGAGAAGGCCGAGCTGCCCGCCCTAGGCAGGAGTACATGAAGTCGCCGCGGCGCGGCAGAGACATGTCTCTCATGGAGTACATGCGGAAGGCAAACACGGACGGCAACATCCAGCATTGGATTCGGCGGGAGCGCAAGAAGCACTTGGATGAGAAGCCGGACGGCGCCCAAGGTCGCGTGGCCGACTTGGAAGACTTCGCGCGGCAGGTAGTTCCCAAGGGAGATACGCTCATCGCAGCCAGCTACCTGTCGCGGTACGGGGACAGGTATTACGGCCAGTGGGTGCTGTTGAATGTGCCGTTCCGCACGGTCGACGATCTGTGGCGCCCAGAGTTGGAGCGCGTGCCGGACCACCTGCGGAACCAAGCACTGGCGCTGCTTCACCGCCCTGACATCTGGCGCAACGCGGAGAAGATCCGGAAAACGTTGGAGTTGGAAGCCTTCCGCGAGCACCACATTGCGAACATCACAGCCATGCTGTAGGCACAAGCGACTCTGATAGACAAGTACACCTCCGGTGATTTGTCGAGGGAGGAGTACGCGGTGGACCACTACGAGAATGGCGTCGAGAGCGATCGAGAGATCTACGTGCCGACGAAGCAGCAGGAGCGCCACGAACACCATCGTGAACCGCGTCTGGGCGAACATGGAGGCGAGGGGATTTAGGGTTTAGGGTTTAGGGTTTAGGGTTTAGCGTTTACACAACGTATTAGCGTCTGCGGACCTCGCGGCGGTTCCAATTGCAGTGCGCTATCGCCGAGGGCGCGCTTTCGTGCGTGCCCGCTCGAAGATCGCGCTCCCTCCCGCGCGGCGGCTGTCTGCCTGCGCTGTTCCGAGAGCGCTTCCGCGCGTGCCCGCTCGGAGATCGCGCTCCCCCCCGCGCGGCGGCTGTCTCCCAGACTGGAACCGGCGGTAAACCGTCAACCAGGTTACCGCCGGGGGCCCTCGTAGAGCTCCTCTCTCGTACGGCGCCCGTCGGTATATTTGCATGAAGACTCTGGGGAAGATTCCCAAAACTCGAAAAATCAGCAATACTGCCCCTACGGACATGAGAATGCATTCGTGGACGCGAAATAACCCACTATAGGTGCGAAAAATACCAGTTCTTAAAATGAATGTTCAAATCTCTCAGAAAGTTTGTCCAACCGACCCAAAGTTCGCACATTGTCCGTCGGGGCCGGGTCGGCCAACTAGCTGCACCCCGCGCCCGAATTCCTCTAGCTCATCGATGCCGAAGAGCCCTACGAGGTACGTCCCAGAAGCGCCCCAGCGCGCTGCGCGCGCTCCTGGGGGCTGGGAGCACTTGGGAGCGCCTGGGAGCGCCTGCGAGCGCTTGGGAGCGTGCCGAGAGCGTGCCGGGAGCGCCTGGGAGCGCCCGGGAGCGTGCCGCGAGCGCCCAGGAGCGCGCCGGGAGCGCTAGGGAGCGCCTGCGCTTGGGAGCGTGCCGGAAGCGTGCCGGAAGCGTGCCGGGAGCGCTTGGGAGTGCCCCGGAGCGTGCCGGGAGCGCCCTGGAGCGCCTGGGCGCGCCTGGGCGTGGCTGGGAGCGTGCCGGGAGCGTGCCGGAAGCGCCTGGTCCCGCCTGGGAGCCCCTGCGAGCACTGGGAGCGTCTGGGAGCGCCTGCGAGCACCTGGGAGAGCCTGGGAGCGCTTGGGAGCGCGCCGGGAGCGCATGGGAGCGCCTGGGAGCCTGCCGGGAGCGCCCGGGAGCGCCTGGCAGCGCCTGGGAGCGTGCCGGGATCGTGCCGGGAGCGTGCCAGGAGCGCTTGGTCCCGCCTGGGAGCCCCTGGGCGCATTGGGAGCGCTTGGGCGCGCCTGGGAGCGCTTGGGAGCGTGCCGGGAGCGTCCCGGGAACGCCTGGGAGCGCCCGGGAGCGTGCCGGGAGCGCCCGGGAGCGCCTGGGAGCGCCTGGGAGCGTGCCGGGAGCGTGCCGGGAGCGTGCCGGGAGCGCCTGGGAGCGCCCGGGAGCGTGTCGGGAGCGCTCGGGAGCGCCTGGGAGCGCTTGGGAACGCTTGGGAGCGTGCCGGAAGCGTTTAGGAGCGCCTGGGAGCACCTGCCTGGGAGCGCTTCGGGGCGCCTGGGAGCTTCGAGACCGTCTGGGGGCCGCTGTTCCGGAGCCGCTTCCGCTCGCGCCGGCTCGCTCGGAGCGTCGGGTATGGTTGGCGCGCCCATCGGGCGCTCGCGCAAGCTTGCGCCGGGCTCGCTTACATCGTTCGGGTATCGTTTCATTGTCTTTCGCCATGGTACCACTCGAGCTTGCTCAATACGTGGTGTTTTTCGTTTTGAGGGTTAGGGTTTAGGGTTTAGGGTTTAGGGTTTAGGGTTTAGGGTTTAGGGTTTAGGGTTTAGGGTTTAGGGTTTAGGGTTTAGGGTTGAGGGTTGAGGGTTGAGGGTTTAGGGCTTCTCTTAGCGCAGCGGCCGACAGTCCAGGCAATGCTGCCCCCCCTTCGGCAAGCTTGATTGGGGGGCGGTTAGCCGACCCGAGCAAGCTTGGCGAAGGGAGCAGGAGTTGCAACATCTTCCCACCCCCGGCCGCATGGCCGGCGACCTCCCGAACTAAAGCCTTTTAGGGTTTAGGGCCGCTGGCCCCTAAATTCCCAAATGGCTCCAAGCGCTCCCAGGCGCTCCCTGGCGCTCCCAGGCCCTCCCAGGCGCTCCCAGGCGCTCCCCGGCGCTCCCCGGCGCTCCCAGGCGCTCCCAAGCGCTCCCAGGCGCTCCCCGGCGCTCCCCAGCGCTCCCCGGCGCTCCTTGGCGCTCCCAGGCGCTCCCTGGCGCTCCCAGGCGCACGGCGCTCCCAGGCGCTCCCCGGCGCTCCCAAGCGCTCCCCGGCGTTCCCCGGCGCTCCCAAGCGCTCCCAGGCGCTCCCAAGCGCTCCCGGCGCGCTCCCAGACGCTCCCAGGCGCTCCCAGGCGCTCCCAGGCGCTCCCAGGCGCGGCCAGAGGCGCGTGCATTAGAGAAAGCGCGCGCTGGCTGCGATCCCCCCACATCAAGGTTGTTGGGGGGATCGGCCCAGGCCGCGCGCGCCACGGTTAGTCGCACTCCCGCCCCAGACCACCCAGAGTGAAGCCTTTTAGGGTTTCGGGTTTCTCCCCCCAACCCCCCTATCACGGGGAGCTGTCGAAGTGGTGCGCGCAGGCGATCGCCGACGCGGCCGTGGCATTGCGCATCCACTTGAGCATGCGCGCAGGGCGCGTGACGTGGGCGCGTCGGCTCGTCGCCCCGTCGAAGAGGCAGCCTTTGGCGATTTCGGCGTTGAGCTTCGCCGTTGGGCTGCCGCTGGCGCAGCATGTCCATACGTTGCCGCCTGTGCCTTTCACTGGGTTGTGACACTGGGCTGTGAATGTTGGGATGTGCGCGTGCGTCCGGGGCCGTAGCAATGCGCGCCGATGCGAGCACGCGCGCAGGGTGCATGGCGCTGGCGCGCCAGGTCGCCTCGTCGATGAGGCAGCCGTTTGCAACTTCGGCGTGGAGCTTCGCCGGTGGGTTGCCGCTGGCGCAGCAGTTCCACAGGGGTCCGGCATTTGCCTTCGGCATTGGAAAGCAGCACTGCGAAGGCGCTGGCGCGGCAATCCCATGATTTCCCGTGGGCCTGGAGCGAGTGGTTGCGCCGTCGAGCTCCTCGGTGACGGCGACGCGCACGGCAGTTACACGCCCGCGGCTTTGGGTTTCGCCTTTGGGGTCGCCCCCACGCTGAAGCGATTGCAATCATTGGCGCAGTCGCCTTCGGCGCGAGCTTCGGACGGCTGGAGGGGGAGCGCGAGGCGCTGGGTCTGGCACCTTCTCGCTACGATGCGCGCGCATGGCTGCGGCAGCACCTCCAAGGCAGAGCCCGTGGAATGCCTTGGGGGGCCCTCTGGCAGCGCTTAGAGAGCGCTTGGACCTTCTCCCAGGAGCCCTGGGACCGCCCGGGAGCGTACGGGTGCGCATGGGGGCGCCGCGTGACGCCTTGGAGCGCTTGTGGGTGCTTTAGAGCGCGTGGGAATGTTTGGGCGCCTGGGAGCACCTGGGAGAGCCGGGGAGCGCTTAGAAGCGCTTCGGAGTTGTGGCAGCGCTGGGAACGCTGGGGAGCGCCTGGGAGCGCGCCTGGGAGCGTGCCGGGAACGCTGGGAGCGCCTGCGAGCGCCTGGGAACGCCTGGGGGCGTGCCGGGAGCACTTGGGAGCGCCTGGGCGCGCCTGCGAGCGCAGCCAGCGCGCGCCTGGGAACGCGCCTGGGAGCGTGCCGGGGGCGCCCAGGAACGCTCGGGAACGCCTGGGAGCGCCTGGGAGCGCCTGGGAGCGCCTGGGAGCTGGTAGCGCCTGGGAGCGCTTGGGAACACTTGCAAGCGCCTGGGAGCGTGCCAGGAGCGCTTGGAGAGTCCGTGGGAGCGCCTGCAGCGTTTGGACGCGCTTGGAGCGCGGCATGCGGTAATTTCATATGTTTGGAGCACCAGGGGGCGCCGCATGGTGTATTTTCATAGGTTTGGAGCCCCAGGGAAAGCACCGGCTTACCAGGGAGCCACTGGCTAGGGCTGAGGGTTAGGGGTTCCTTTTCTTAGGAGAACATCACGGGAATGCACCGCGCGGCGTGCGAATTCCTCCTTAGCGGCTATCGCCGCTTCGTCGGTGCCACGGACGTGAGTATTGAGCAGGCTCGCTGAGCGCTCGGCCAGACGCCACGGGCTACGAACGTTGCACAGCCCGTGGCTTGCAGTTTAGAGTTTAGGGTTTAGGGTTTAGGGTGTAGGGCTTCTCGGGCGCGCAGCGGCCGACAGTCCGGGGAATGCTGCCCCCCCTTCGGAAAGCTTGATTGGGGGGGGCGGTTAGCCGACCCGAGCAAGCTTGGCGAAGGGGCAGGAGGTGCAACACTTGGCGCCGGCGGTAAACCGTCAACCTTTCTTACCGCCGGGGGACTCGTAGAGCTTCCTGACAATATATAATGTGGAAAAGAATTTCACAGAACGACTAGTTTTTCAGCCCAAGCGATTATAGACCTCTCAAGATGACTCTAACAAAACAAACGAACAGTTTTCCAATCGAGCCCGAGTATGAAACCGAGTTCAGACCTCTGAATGCGACAGGCGGACGCGTCTATGTCTGCGCATCGATTCCTGTGATTAACAGCTCTGCAGCCCCCCATACAGCATGAGTTAAGTGCAGAAAACCGAGAGTACTTCTCAGGATGACTCGAATAATACAACAGTTTCGCGGATCTAGTTCGAGCAGCAGACCGAGTTCCGAGCTCTCGGTTCGACGAACAGACGCGCCTGATGTTTCGAAATCGATTTCTGTGACCAGCAGCACTGTAGCCCTCCCCGAGCACGATTTAAGTACAGAAAACCGAGAGCACTTCTCAAGATGAACAATACCAATAGATTCGCGAACCTAGCTCGGGGAGTAGGCCGAGTTCAGAGCTCTTGATTCACCAGACGAACGCGCCTGGTATTTCTCAATCGATTTCTGTGATTATGAGCTCTGTGGCTGTCCTACAGATCGAGTTAAGTACGAA